CAGTAGCAGTAGCAGTAGCAGTAGTAGCAGTAGTGCCCCGGGGGGGCCCGGACGAAAAGAACCCCGAGCAGCTCCTGGGCACGTCGGTCCCAGCGATGGTTTTCTTCTTCGGCGCTGACTTTCAGGTCCCAGAGCGCCCCAGGAACGCCACAAGAGAGCCGAGACGCACCCGAGTCGATCCGAGGGGCCCTGAGTCGCCGAAAGATCGTTCCAAGAAGCCCAAGATGGCCTCCAGACGGCCGTAGCGCCAAGAAACCGCGGGGAGCCTCAGGAGGCCTTCCAAGAACCTGAACAAGCAAAAACCTCCCAGGCATTCGTCACCCCTGGGCCTCCTGGAGCGCCCCGGCGCCCAATGAATTGGCGAGCTAAAAACGTTCGCCGAGCCAAAGTGGGAGCGCAACTTTGAGAACATTTCGCTCAGCGCCCAAGCGGGAAGGTCATTCCATTCACTTCGAGCGGGGGGGGAGGGGGTGTGCCGCGCGCAATTCTTGCCATGCACTTTTGCGGTGTGGACGACAAGAACAGCTATGTGGGCAGGGAAAAGCAGCATGGCATTGCTTCTGACAAGTAAGGTGGCCCCTCCCGCCTTGGGGTTGCCCCAGAAGTCCTCGCGCACGCATTTCGCATCGTCGACGACTTGACAGGCCATGATGAAAGGAAAAACGGCAACTCTGTATTGTCTTTTACAGTCAGGATGGGAGGGCCCGCAGCCCGCATGGGCGTCCGCGCTCGATGCGCGCCGCGTCCCGTGGGAAACCATGCTGAGAGGAAAAAACGGAGACATCGTATTGATTTTTTACAGTCTGGATGGGCGGGCCCGGATTGACGGCCGCGCGCGATGTGCGCCGCGTCCCATATGTGCGCCGCGTCCCACTGTTGCCACACATTTCGCACCGTCGGCGACAAGGCAGGCCATGCCGAAAGGAAAAACGAAGACTTTGTATAGACTTTTTTACAGTCAGGATGGGCGGGCCCAGATTGACTGCCGCGCGCGATGTGCGCCGCGTCCCATTCCCGCCACGCTTTTCGCATCGTCGACGAAAAGAAAGACGATGTTGAGAAGAAAAACGGCCACTTTGTATTGATCTTTTATAGTCCGCATGGGAGGTCCCGGATTGGGTTGCTATCGGCCGGAATGCGAGGTAGGTGGGGGTATATAATAATAAGCAACAAGGATGTGTGTGTGTGTGTGTGTGGTGTGGGGGGGGGGGGGGGGGGTGTATTTGCGCGCGTGTGTGCGTGTGTGTGTGTGTGTGGGTGTATTTCTGCGCGTGTGTGCGTGTGTGCGTGTTGGCGTGTGCGGGTGCGGGTGCGTGGGCGGTGTGTGTGTGTGTGCGTGTGTGTGTGTGGGTGTGTGGGTGTGTGGGTGTATGGGTGTATGTGTGTGTATGTGTGTGCGCGTGTGCGTGTAAGTGTGTGTGTGTGCGCGTGTGTGTGGGTGTGCGTGTGTGTGTGTGTGTTTTGTGTGCGTGTGTGTTTTTGTGTGTGTGTGTGCGTGTGTGTGTGTGTGTGCTTGTGTGTGCGTGTGCGTGTGAGTGAGTGAGTGAGTGCGTGAGTGAATGAATGTGTGTGAGAGTGTGCGCATGTGTGTATGTGTGTGTGTGCGTGTGGGTGTGGGTGTGGGTGTGGGTCAAGCTAGCCAGCTTGAGCGAGACAAGCATGGCATGCCCATTCCCACCCGCCCTCCCACAACATAAGAATCACCGATGGCACAACGGACAGGCCGCTGTCTTCCCCCTCGCCGTACCCCTAAACCCCCCAAATCCGTTCCGAAGGAAGCCTTCGGACTCCTCCCGGGCCCAAACGCACAACTTTTTTGAGTTGCGTCCAGCCGTGACTTAGAGGAGAACCCCGAGGGCCAGAAAGCCTCGAACACCGATTCTCGAGGCAACGGACAGGCTGCTGTCTTCCCCCTCGCCGTACCCCCAAACCCAGATCCGGTCCGAAGGAAGCCTTCGGACCCCTCCCGGGTCCAAACGCACCTTTTTGTTCGAGTCGCGTCCAGCCGTGACTTAGAAGAGGACCCCGAGGGCCAGAAAGGCTCGAACACCGATGCTCGAGGCGCAAAGTTCGAACACCTCACTGAAACACTCCCCCTTTCGCGCCGCCGACCATGACCTGTGGGCGGCGCCGGCGCCGTGCCGCCGCGACGGGACCTCCCAGTTCGTGCTTCGAGGCTCCTCGGAAGCTCTCGCGGCTCTTGGGCACACATCCCCGACGACAAGATTTTCTTGGTGCTGGCGTTTTTCCGTCGACTTCGCACGTTTTCCCTCGACTTCGCCCTCCAGGGAACGGTTTTTGCCCCCCCGGACCAATAAGAAAATCCCCAGGACGCAAAACTGCCCCCGAGAAAAGGGTCGAGATCTCAGAAAGGCTTGGGACGAATTCGCCGGCCCAACGGGCCAGAGGCGTGCAAAGATCTCCAGTAACTAGTTAACAATCTTCTAGTTCGCGCGCGCGGGGCGACCCCTGGGGGCCCTCGGACGAAAAGTGCCCCGAGCAGGTCCCGGGCCAACCCAACGGGCCAGAGGCATGCTAAGATCTCCGGCAACTAGTTAACGATCTTCTAGTTTGCGCGCGCGGGGCGACCCCTGGGGGCCCCCGGACGAAAAGAACCCCGAGCAGGTCCTGGGCACGTCGGTCCCAGCGATGGTTTTCATGTTCGGCGCTGACTTCCAAGTCCCAGAGCGCCCCAGGAACGCCCCAAGAGAGCCGAGACGCCCCCGAGACGATCCGAGGGGCCCTGAGTCGCCGAAAGATCGTTCCAAGACGCCCAAGATGGCCTCCAGACGGCCGAAGACGCCGCCAAGAAACCGCGGGGAGCCTCAGGAGGCCCTCCAAGAGCCTGAACAAGCAAAAACCTCCCAGGCATTCGTCACCCCAGGGCCTTCTGGAACGCCCCGGCGCCCAGTGAATTAGCGAGCTAAAAACGTGCGCCGAGCCAAAGCGGGAGCGCATCGTTGAGAAAATTTCGCTCGGCGCCCAAGCGGGAAGGTCATTTCATTCACTTCGAGCGGGGGGGGAGCGGGGCGTGCCGCGCCCAAGTCTTGCCATGCACTTTTGCGGTGTGGACGACAAGAACAGCTATGTGGGCAGGGAAAAGCAGCATGGCACTGTTTCTGACAAGTAAGGTGGCCCCTCCCGCCTTGGGATTGCCCCAGAAATCCGCGCGCGATGTGCGCCGCGCCCCGTTCCTGCCACGCATTTCGCATCGTCGACGACTTGACAGGCCATGATGAAAGGAAAAACGGCAAATCTGTATTGTCTTTTACAGTCAGGATGGGAGGGCCCGCGGCCCGCATGGACGTCCGCGCGCGATGTGCGCCGCGTCCCGTTCCTGCCACATACTTCGCACCGTCGGCGACAAAGCAAACCATGCTGAGAGGAAAAAACGGAGACTTCGTTTTGATTTTTTACAGTCAGGATGGGCGGGCCCGGATCGACGGCCGCGCGCGATGTGCGCCGCGTCCCATATGTGCGCCGCGTCCCACTGTTGCCACATATTTCGCACCGTCGGCGACAAGGCAGGCCATGCTGAGAGGAAAAAACGAACATTATATATATATATATACAGTCAGGATGGGCGGGCTCAGATTGACTGCCGCGCGCGATGCGCGCCGCGTCCCATTCCTGCCACGCTTTTCGCATCGTCGACAACAAGAAAGACGATGTTGACAAGAAAACGGCCACTTTGTATTGATTTTTTACAGTCCGGATGGGAGGTCCCGGATTGGGTTGCTATCGGCCGGAATACGAGGTAGGTGGGGGTATATAATAATAAGGAACAAGGGTGTGGGTTTGGGCGTGGGTTGCGTGTGCGTGCGTGCGTGAGTGCGTGAGTGAGTGGGTGCGTGAGTGCGTGCGTGTGTGCGTGCGTGCTTGCGTGCATGTTTGTGTGTGTGTGCGTGGTTGAGCGCAGCTCCGCCGATGGCGCGCAGCCCGTGCCGTCCCTCATGCTGCACGGCTTGCGCCGCTATGGAAGGGCCGCGGAGGGCAGGCACACTCAAAGGCGCGCCGAGGGGGGAAACGAGAGGGGGCGGGCCTCTGCAAAAAGGAGGAGGAGGAGGGGGAGGAAGGGGAAGGAGGAGGAGGAGGAGGAGGAGGAGGAGGAGGAGGAGGAGGAAGGAGGAGGAGGAGGAGGGGGAGGAGGAGGAGGAGTGTGCGCCAGGAGGGAGGAGGAGGAGGGGAGGAGGAGGAGGAGGAGACGAGGAGGAGGACGAGGAGGAGAGGAGGACGAGGAGGAGGAAGGAGGAGGAGGAGGAGGAGGAGGAGGAGGAGGAGGAGGAGGAGGAGGAGGAGAGGAGGAGGAGGAGGAGGAGGAGGGAGGAGGAGGAGGAGGAGGAGGAGGAGGAGGAGGAGGAGGAGGAGGAGGAGGAGGAGGAGGGTCAGGAGGAGGAGAGGAGAATGAGGAGAAGGAGGAGGAGGATAGAGGAGGAGGATGGAGGAGGAGGATGAGGAGGAGGATGAGGAGGAGGAGGAGGAGGAGGAGGAGGAGGAGGAGGAGGAGAGGAGGAGGAGGAGGAGAGGAGGAGGAGGAAGGAGGAGGAGGAGGGAGAGGAGGCGGAGGAGGAGGAGAGAGAGGAGGAGGAAGCGGAAGAGGGTCAGGATGAAGGAGAGGAGATGATGATGATGATGATGAGATGATGATGATGATGATGATGATGATGATGATGAGGAGGAGGATGAGGAGGAGGAGGAGGAGGAGGAGGGAGGAGGAGGAGGCGAAGGAGGAGGAGGAGGAGGATGGAGGAGGAGGAGGAGGAGGAGGAGGAGGAGGAGGAGGAGGAGGAGGAGGAGGAGGAGGAGGAGGAGGAGGAGGGAGGAGGAGGAGGAGGAGGAGGAGGAGGAGGCAGCGTGTCGTTTCAGAAGCCCTCTGTGGTTTCGGAGAATGCGTGAAAAACTGCTCGGAAGTCCGGAGGCCTTCTGAGTAGGCCCGCCCCCTCTGCATTCCCCTCCTGGGCGTGCCGCCGACACGCGCTGGCGCTGGCGCACGTCCTGAGGATCATCGGCCCATTCCGACGCCGCGACCGAGCTGGCACTGAACAGCCAAGCGCTCGAGATCGCCGAGCGGCTGCGGCGCAGCGAGAGGCACCCGCGCGAGCACCACAGAGCCCCGGCGGGCACCGCTCGGCCGGCGAGGCCGCTGTCCGCTGCAACGAGCCCCAGGTCGCCCCAAAACAGTGTTCGTTTTGATTCCTCCGATTGGATTCGATTCGATTTCGATGGCTTCCGAATCCGATTCGATTCGGATTAGGATTCCGATTCGGGTTCCGGTTTCCTACTGGAAGCCTACTAGGCTGCCGATTTCCGCCGATTCGATTTTTCCCGACTCGGTTGCCGATTCCCACCGATCCGATTCATTTCGATCGCCGATCCGATTTGTCGATTCGACTTTGGGCTGTCCTGCCAGGAGCAACCTAAACGAGCCCACGCGTGCCAACATGACAGTGTGCCCTCCTCTGTTGCCCGACGTCTGTGGCCCTTTGGGCCCTGGCGTTCGGCCATTCCACGGCAACGGCTGGGCGGTGAAGGCGCCTGTTGGGCCGTGCGCCCTGGCGGGTCAGCGAGGAGAGCTTCGGCCACGCCTGCAGCGTCGGGGCCCGAGTCGTCCCCCCGCGTACCCGCCCGAGGGGGGGCGAGTGGTGCCGACGCGGGCGGGGGCGAGCGCAAGCTGCGGCGGGGTTCCACTCGACCCTTCGGGGCGGGAGCTTGGCAGACGCACGGACCAGTCGCCTTCCTTGTCTGCGGTGCGCGAGGGGCATGCGGGTCTAGAAGTCACCCCCCGAGGCAATGGCGCACTCCAGTGTTCGGGGACTTGGATTACGTCGGGCATGCCCCTCTACAGGAGGAGTATTCAAGAATAGTGCGACGCGTGTTATTTGATTTGTTTTAGATTGTGCTTTTTCTTCCAGAACCCGCCTATAGGAGGACATGCTCGACCTAAGACTTAAAGGGCACCGCCTGATTCAAGGGTGGCCATGTCATCGTCCACGACCCGATTACGTGCCACTCCCTCTGGCAATTTCTCTTAGAATTCGGTCGTCACCCCCCCGCAAAGAAGGTGAACAGTATCAGAGATACAGAAGTAGATGTCGCAGACACGTTCAGAATGGGGTCAACATACGAAGTGTGAACACCGTTCTTGTTGGACAAATGCCCTCACGCTGGAATGGTAACAATTTCAACACGCGCTGCTCGGGCCCGCATTATGTAAAACATACAATCTGAGCCCGAACGGCTACAGAGGCATAGAACGCATACGTCGTATACATATAAATTCATGCTCTCTCTTGCTGATTCGATGAGTTTCTGTGGATTGGGGTGTCGTTTGACATCCAGTTTCGCCCAGGCCTGCAATAATGGCGACGCCCCTTCCTCCCGGCAGATCAGCTCGGGTCGCGTGCACGAGTGCATTGCCAAGGTCATGGGTGGCGAGTACAAGCTGGCGTTCGTCAACTGAATCCCGCGAATCCGCGCCATCACATGTACCTCCACTGCCACGGTAGCAATGGTCACGGGGACTTGGACCATCAGCTCAGGCCAGGCACTATGTGCTTGAACCTCGTATATTTCAACATCAGGGACGAACAGAAGGAGCCCCCCTCCGTGCAGGGCGCGGCCATTTCCCGCGCCATGGAAGCGGAGGTCCGGAAGCATGGGGGCAACATGTCCGCGCAGAACGTGAACCTGCAGCAGATCGATTAGGCCATCTTGAAGATGACCGCCTGGGGGCAGCGACCGATTTCATGATTGTAATCGGCGGCGACAGCTGCATCATGTACGTGTGCCCGCGCTGCAAGACGGCCCCTCTCAAGCCAAAGGAGTGGGCGCGGTGCGTGCTTACAGGGCATCAGGATGAGCCAGGAGGCACCGCAACGGGAGGCGGGCCCTGGAGGTGCGTCAGCAAGAAAAGCGGCCTCAGGTGAGGTACAGATGGCACCGTTGCGCGGGAGTACAAGGCGATCGGCGAAGGCGCTCGCCCCGCCCGCGGCCCACTTCCCCCGCCCCGCTGCGGGCGGGGGGGGGGCGGGGAGGGGCCTTCATGACGGAGAGGCGCCGTGCTCCCGAGGAGTGGTCATTTGGGTGACGGGTAGGGCTTCGGGGCCGCGCAGCCCATTCGCATCTGGGGGGTCGTCGCACCGTCAAGACTGCGGGTCGTCGCGCGATCCGCAGCCCTTTCGACCATGCCATGTAGACATTGACCTCGTTTGGCCTGGACCGACGCCACGCTGGCCCCAGGTGGCCCGCAGGCTTCGCACTGGGCCCGCGAGCATCCACCTGCGACGTCGCCCAGGCGTTTGTGATCGAGGGGCGCGCGGGCAGGCCAGCAGGAGGGCGCCGAAAAGAACAGCCGCTTCGAGCTACTCAGAGACCACAGAGTCATGGGCGAGATTCGCGAGGAAGGCGAAGACCTTCAAACGGAAATGCCGGGCAACTGGGGCGCCACTCGCGGGGGAGCAAGGACGGGGCCGAGCTGGCCCACTGAGGAGAAGGGCAGGTGCGACGTCGACGCGTCGGACGACATGGATTTGCCCGAGGTTGAACGACAGCGATGGCGGGGTGCACGGCGCCGGCGGCAGCCGGGCTCCAAGCAACATTTCGGGACGGGGCCGCGTCGTCGCGCTGGTCAGGGAGCCGGCCGCAGCGCGGCCCGAAACGCGACTAGGGCGAGGGGTCGCCCCCGCGCCCCCGCCCTCCGCCGACCAGCGCGCGTTTTGCTCAAAAGTGATGGGAGCAACACACTGAGGATGGCGCGCGAGGAGGCGCAAGAGATGGTGGGCGAGATCGAGGACCGAAAGACCCCGCCCCGCGGCAGCGCGGCGGACGCAGAGGAGGGCGGCCCCAGGAGGGGCACCAAAGGGACGTGCCCCCCGCAGGCGGTCCGACGGCACGCAGGAGATGACGAATTCGGAGACCGAGTGTGATGACAGAGAGGCATAGATGGAGAGGGGGCGCCCACGTTCCCGCTCAACCCCGCAGAACAGCCGCCTAGCCTGCCGCAGCCAGAAATCGCAGCGCCATACGGCTTAGGGCAGGCGCCGCCATCAGAAGAGGAAGAGCAGGCGTAGCGACGCGGGCAGCGTTGGCGAGCTCTGCTGCCCACGAAGAAGACACGCTGGCGCCGCGCGACGCGGGGCACCCGCAGGCAGGCACCAGCCACGCCGGGCCAGGACCTGATGGAGGAGGCGCGGCGGACCTACGGACCACGAGCTGTAGCAGATCAGAGAGGTCGAGGTCCACGTTGGTGAGCGATGCCAGGAGATGCCCGGCGAACATCGGGCAAAGTCCGAGCAGGGGCGCAGGCCGCAACGTGCGACGAGGAGCTGCTGGAGCGCCGAAGTGCGACGAAATGTTGAGCTGCCGTGGGCAAAGGCGCAGCAGTTCAGCGCGCGGCGCGAGATGCTGCCGAGACAGCGAGCCCGCGGAACAGCGTCCAATGGGGCGGGGCAAGGGCTGGAGGCGAGCCCCACCGACGAGGGCGCGCCGACCTCCAACGCGCACGAATAGCAGGGGGGGCCAAAGGGGCCGGGAGTCCCAGCCCCTCGCGCGCAGCCCTTACCCCCCCCCCAGCCCGATGGGCGCGAGCGCGGGCGGCTGCAAGACTCCACGCGAAGCTTCGGGGCGGGGGCCGCGCGCCTCGCGGACGCCGCCAGCGGGCGCGGGCCCGTTCGGGGGGCGGCCCCGCCGCCCGCGGCAGCTTGCGCCGTCCACGGAGCCGCCCGCCAGTGAACCTGTGGCCTCGCGGAGCCACTCCGACAACCGCCTGCGAAGCCGAGGCGAGAGGCCCCATGCGCGACCCTGCGGGGGCAGTTCCCACGGAGGCGGGGCGCGGAAGGAACGGGGCCGTCGGCCAAGAGCCAGCGAAGACGGATTGCCTCTCCCGTCGCCCGCGCGTCGAAGGACACAGGAGGAGGCTCGGGGGCCAGCGGCCACCTCCGTTGAGCGACAGCGCGCAGTCGGGAACGCGGCGGCGGCTCCCCGATGGCTCTTCCCGCGGCCGCCAGGAGCCACGCGGGTGCGCCACGGCCACAGGGCGCTGGGCGGGAGGTCACAGACGCAGCTGAAGGAAATCGAAAGCCATCGAGGCAGGAACATCGGGGAGACGTCGCAGCCCTTCATTCAAATGTCGGACGACAACAGTCCCCAGCCTGCAGATTGGCACGCGCCCAGGCAACTGGCAGCACGCGGGGGGACACGCCCTGGACGCCGCCGCCCCACAGACCACAGCAGGACGGGAGGACCGTGGAAGAGTATGCCAGATGTCTGACCAGCTCGCCAACGTCGACAGCGGCGGGCCCCACGACCGCGACCGCGGCCGGCCACGCGGCCCACCGCCCATAAAAAGGAGAGGGTCTCACCTGGCGCCGCTAGGCAAACGTGCACCCGGCGCGGGGTGAGCACCCAGGGGCGTCGAGGAATGGTCCCCCATGAGAGGGGGGCCTGCACCGGCGGCAACGAGACCGAAGCCCAGCCGCGCGGATAGGCGATCCCCCACCCCCCCCGTGCACCACGGCGGGGAGGGCGCGCCGCATCCTCCGGGCGCAGGCTTTGACGCAGGCGAAGAGCCCCGAGATCCGGCGGCAGCACCCGCAGGGGCCACAGCAGCGGGCGCGATGACGGCCCCAGATTTGAGGACCGAGCTCGTCGGGAAGATCGAGCAATCCAAGCAGGGATGGGAAGCCGCAGGACGCTCCCCGCAGGCGAGGCGAGACAGGTGCACAGTCAACCTGCGTAGTAAGGATGGGCAACCGTCCCAAGGGTACCTCGGTCCATCCTTGGCCGCTTTCGTTGCCCGCGCCCCGTTCGGAAAGCTTCGAAGCGGGCGCCTAAGGTCCTTGCACCCTCACCGTGCATCCGTATGATACGGGTTGGATTGTACACGACCGAGACCGACCCGAGCGAGCCGCTCAGCCCCGCGACGAGGAAAGCCTCTGAGGCCAAGGCTCGAGCTAAACGGTGTTCTGGCAATTCCGTGGACCGCTTTCGCTTTGATTTCGTTTTGCAGCAAATGTGGAGCGAAGACAAAACTAGGGATGACGAAAACAGAACGATCACGGAAAACACTGTTTAACTCGCGCCCTGTCTGAGGCAGCTCTTGGGGGCACTGCGGGTGGGCGCGAGCGCGGGCCTCAGCGGGGGCCCACGCGACCCTTCGGGACGCGGGCCCAGCCTGCGCGCTAGCGGGCCGGCCCCCTCTCGGGGCACGCCTCGACCAGCGCGTGCATGGGGCGAGGCCCCGCGCGACCCAACAGGACGAGGGCCCAGCCCCCCGCGGGGGTGGCCGCCCTTCCGTTTCCCAGTTGGTAGCCTTCTGAGGCGCTGAACCCCCAGCAGCCCTCGACAGCGGCGACAGCTTCGCAGTTCGCACCCCCCAGGGATGGCGAGGTCGAATCAGAATTCCAGACGCAGCGCCAGTCCGCTGGACCCTCAGCAGCCCTCGAAGGTGCAGTTCGCAGCCCCCCACGGACGGCGAGGCCACGTAGTATTGTGAGGTAGGAGGCAGCCTGGCAGGCAGGATCCGGCAGGATAAAAGAGAGGAAGAGGGAGGCGGGAGTGGAGACCGCAGTGCCATCCAAAACGAGAACCCAAACACATTCCAGACGAGTTGCCCTGATCAGCGATGCGAAACAGCATGCAGTCACCCAGAACATGTCTGAGGCCTCTGGGGCTCTCCTGGGGCCCTGTTGGGACATCATGTACTCACAGGGTGACTGACCTCGTGCACCAGGTGCCGCCACAATGGCGCCGAGCTGTTCGTGGTTCGCGGTTACTCATCTTCATCTTCTTCGTCCCCATATTCTCCCCTGGATGGGCGGCGCGAGGGCGCGAAGTTGTTTCGCTTCGCGAGGCGCGAAACGCGAACAGAGCTGCCCGTGGCGGTCGTTCCCAGGCAAGCCCAGGTCATTTCGCACGCCTCCTCGCCAAGCAACGTGGCCGCAACGGGACACCCTGCGAGCAGCCTGGTGCCGCTTGGCCCCCGTTTGGAGACGATGGTGGCCCAAAGCGAGATAGGGTCGTTCTCTCTCTCTCTCTCTCTCTCTCTTTCTCTTTCTCTCTCTCTCTCTCTCTCTCTCTCTCTCTCTTTCTATATATATATATATACACAGATGTATGTCTCTCTCTCTCTCTCTTTCCCTCCCTCCCTTCCTCCCTCTCTCTCTCTCTCTCTCTCCCTCTCTTGTCCATGAAGATCACGTGTCGGAGGTCTGCGCGGATGTCTTGGGTCGGCGTTGAGACCCCTCTCCCCTGACGCGCGACGCGCGCCAGGGGGGAGACCAGCGCCGACTTGAGAAACCCGCGCGGCCTGCCGAGAAGTCGGCGTGTGCTTTGTGCCCTTGAGCGGTTCCTCGAAGGTCGTCCTTGAGCGGCCAGGGCGTCGGGCCCACGATGGGCGACACAGGCTCGTCCTTCTGCTCCTCCCCGAAGAGGGGAGAGGAGCAGCGGGAGGGGGAGGGTTAAGGAATGAGCAGACGAGATCGGCAGTAGGAGGAGGAGGAGGAGGAGGAGGAGGAGGAGGGAGGAAGAAGAAGAGGAGGAGGAGGGGGACAAGAGTACGCCCAACAAACGACAACGTTGTTGCAATAAGACCTTCCTTCAAGTTCCCTCTTCACAGGTCCCTCACAGAATTTGCTGTCTTTGCGAGAAGCGGCCAACTTGAAGACAACCGTCGGAGGATCCTCAGCCGTGCCAAAACACAGTTCCTGGAATTCCAACGCCGCGGATCAACATGCCCGTTGCGGTCTGACAACCCTAAATCGCACCAGAACACAATTCCTTGGACTTCAGCAGCGCGAAGTAGTATTCCTTTTGCGTCCTGACAGTCCCAAGTCGCACAATAACGCGAATCCTGGATCTTCGATCATACGAACCCGCTTAATGTTTGCAACTTTCAAGACGAATGCGCACGGCACTCAACGAGAGCCACGATTTGAAAGGAACCGTTTTCCTTCTTTGAACGTGTCGCGAAGTGTTAAAATGAATGCACGCGGTGTCAAGGCGAGAGGCACTTTATGAAACAATGCTGAAATTGTTAAGACTAGTGCCCGCGGCACGACGGCGAGAGCCTCATTTTTGAAAACGGACCGCCATCCATCCGCGAAATTGTTGCAAGCTTCAAGCAGTAGGGTCATGAGCTACGAGGAAATCTCAGGCGAAATGCCCGGCCCGCCCTACCGACGCGTCTTGGGGTGAGACGGGGAGGAGCTACTTGTAAGGAAAAGGGATGGAGGAGGAGGGGGCAGGAAGGAGGAGGAGGAGGAGGAGGAGGAGGACAAGAGGAAGCCCAAGATACGTCCACCGATGCTGCAGTACGCACTCCCGTCCCAAGTCCCCTCTTCGTAAGTCCATGCGTGTTTTCCTGTCCACTCCCGGCACGCACACCCCTTGAATGACGAGCGGGCGGTTGGTCCGCCACTCTGACGAGAGCACATGTTGTAGAGAATCCTCCCTCCATTTGAAGGACGCCCAGGCTAGCCCCAGATTGAGGAGGAGGAGGAGGAGGAGGAGGAAGGGCAGGAAACAGGGCCCAAGACGGGTGACCCAGGCTCCCCGAGCCTCACCGCTGCGGGCGCCGACTCCTGCAGCCCGAACGCGGAGGCCGGGGAGTGCACACCGCAGCGAGGGCCATGAGGTCCCGACGACGTCGTGCCTCTCATGCCTCCTCCTCCACCTCTTCCTCCTCTGTCTCCTCCTCCTCCTCCTCCTCCTCCTCCTCCTGCTTCCTCTCCGCCACCTCCTCCTCTTCCCTCTTTCTCCTCTTCCTCCTCCTCCTCTTTCTCATCCTCCTCCTCTTTCTCATCCTCCTCCTTCATCCTGCTCCTCCTCTTCTTGCTCCTCCTCCTCCTCGCTCTCCTCATCTTCACCCTCCTCCTCACTCTCCACCTCAAACTCCTCCTCCTCCTCCTCCTCCACCTCTCCTCATTTTCGTTCCAGGCATCTCCAAGCGTGCATGCCTTCCTTGCCTCGAGGGACGATCAAATACATAGACATAAACTGTCGGCGCTCAGCGCGGATTTCTCGAATCGGCGCTTGGCCCCCCTGACTTTCCCCCAGGCGGCGCCTCCGGCCCCGCGCCACGCGCTTGGAGGGGGTTCAGCGCCGATCCAAGCAACGTGCGCGGATTTCCCAAGGTGCATGTTTATGTAGCTTGTTTATCCTCTTTTGACCCTCCTTATTCTCTCCCCACGCATCCCCTCGCCCACCTCGTCCGCGCACATGCCTCGGCATGATCTGTGGGCCTCTGCCTTGCTCTTCCATGTCCTGCCTCCCGTGTCTGGCAATGGCCCGATCTCGCTGGCATTGTGCCGCGACTGTGTTCTGGGGCATTGTGCCGCGACTGTGCTCTGCCCCATCGGTCGTCACCCCTCTTGCTTGGAGTTTCGGATCAGCTCCACGACCTCTCCCGCTCGGCTCGCGATGCGCACGGCACGCGCGCGAGCTCGCAGGGACAGCATCGACACATGCGGACGCTGCGAGGGGGGCAGAGGATGTCCGCGCACGTGCCCCGGGCCCACAGTGCGCCAGCCGTCCTCTGCCTGGCCCCCTCTCCTCGGAGGCCTGGGCTCCTCGGCCGAACCTCGGGCCCCCGAGAGTCTTGGGCCCGGGCGGCACTCTGCCTGGAGACCTCCGGGCGAGACCAGCCGCGGAGCCCCCCAGAGGCCCCCCGGGGAGCCCGGATCCTCCGGGGCCCTGGGGAGCAGGACGCGCGGCAGGGAGCAGGATCCCGCGGAGGAGAGCACGAACGCCGTGGAGAGCGCTCTGGCCCGCGGACGCAGCAAGGCCAGCAAGGCCCCCGCCTGCGGGGCCCTGAGCTCCTCGAGGCTCGATCCTCCCACTGCACCGGCCCCCCCCCTCCCCTTTCGGAGGTTGATAGACCTCCTACCCTGACACGTCGATTAAGGAGTTGGCCGTTTTCGGCTCACGAGAGGGCGTCGCGGCCGTCACTTTGCGGGTCCAGGTCCGTCGGTTTCGGTCCCGGGCCGTTTTCGCTAAGGGGAGGTGTACTATAGCGAGGTTTGTCCACCGTCGACCCTTCCGCCTCGTCGCCCAGCAGGGCCCGATTCCCTCTTCGCCTGCCCAGGAGCGTGCGGCTTTCTCGTCGGGGGCTGCGGGGCCCTGGGATCCTCGAGGCTCGATCCTCCCCCTGCACCGGCCCCCCGCCCCCCCCCCCCCTTCCGCCTCGTCGCCCAGCAGGGCCCGATTCGCTCCTCGCCTGCCCAGGAGCGCGCGGCTTTCTCGTCGGGGGCGTGCCGCCGATCCCTCGGCGATGCGTCGCAGGTCGCCCTGTGGACCCCGTGACTGGCCGTGGGAAAGCCCCTGCAGGCCCATGGCATAAGGATGTGTAAAGGCCTCCATCCCAATGCGAAAGGAGCGACCTTGCTATCTGACACGTTTGGCATGCTCTAGACATGCAGTTTGCGGTGGTGCTCTCGAAGCTCCCCCCTCTGGCCAGTCTTGAGTCGGGCCTGTCCCTCTACAGGGGGAGTATTCAAAAAATTGTCCAAAAATTGTCCAGGGACTATTTGATTGGGAATTTGTCATTGAGCATTTTTCGTTTCTCGCCCAAAGCCCGCCTGTAGGGGGACATGCCCGACCTAAAGCCAGGCCCCCCTTACCACCCCCCTTACCACGATCAGGAGCGGAGACCAACAGCGGCTGCTTCCCCCCGAGCCTCGAGTTGGGGATCGACTCCAGAATCGATTTTGCCCCTAGATTCATTTTCTCGTGAAATCCATGGGTAAAGCGTGGAACGCCCGCGGAGGCTCCCGCCCAGCTCTTGCCCAACCTGTCTGCCCAATGGTCAGGTGCTCCTGTAGGGGAACGAACGATGACATAAACCCAAAAGCTCGGAGTTCGCGCGGATTTCTCGGGTCGGCGCGGGACCCCCCTTTCGGCGCCTCCAGCGCCACCTCTGGCGCGCTGCGCGCCAGGGGCGGGGGGTCCCGCGCCGATCCGAGAAATCCGCGCGAACTCCGAGCTTTTGGGTTTCTGTCATTGTTCGTTCCCCTACAGGAGCACCTGACCATTGGGCAGACAGGTTGGGCAAGAGCTGGGCAGGAGCCTCCGCGGGCGTTCCACGCTTTACCCATGGATTTCACGAGAAAATGAATCTGGGGGCAAAATCAATTCTGGAGTCGTTCCCTTTATCCTGGTGCAGTGCTGGACCTAAACGCTGTGTTGCTGGACTTCGGCTGTGTTTTGTTTTTTGTTTCGTTTCGGGAGGGAGGTACCGGGAAAGAGGTATAACGAAACGAACAACAAAACGACCACAAAGCGAAAGACACCGTTTAGGTCCAGCCTTCTCCTGGTGCCCTCTCCTGCGCCGGCACTTTTGTGCCCTCGCATGAGAGAAAAGAAATGCCCCCACCGCAGGTCCAACGTGTAGGTCCAGCCCTCTCCCGGTGCCCTCGGCGTGCGCGCCCGACTGCCCCCCGGGGTGGGGCGCAGCCCTCGCCCCGCCGCAGAGGGCGCGCTCGCCCCTCGCGCTGATGAGCGCGCTGCCCGCGGGGCTCGCGCGCTGCCCTGGCCCGCCGCGCACTGGCGCGCGCCGCCGCGCAGGCCGACGCGGCCCGGCAGGCTCGCCCCTGGCGCCTGGCGTGCAGGTCGGGCGCGTCCCTCGACGGGAGGAATACTCGAGAACAGGAAGCACATACTCTGGCTGCCCTGGCCCGTCTCGCGCTGGCGCGCGCCGCCGCGCAGGCCGCCAGGGCCCTGCAGGCTGGCCCCTGTGCCCACAACGGCTGGTGGCGCCTGCTCGCCCCAGACAGGATCGCGCCGCCTGGATGCGGCAGACCCTGGAGGGCTCCTTCTCTGATGAGGGCGGCGGTGATGTCCGTGGCCAATCCTCGATTGGAGTCCTACTGGCCTCCAGACCCTTGATTCAGCGCTCGTGGCGCCGACTGCCGAGGTGCGGAGCCGCTGGGCGGAGAAGCTTGGGCTGGCGGCGGACGGCAACCTGGCCGAGAGCGCAGCCGCGGGCACCAGCAAGGCGCTGGATGCCGAGGGCGAGCGGCCGGCCAAGCGCCAGCGGACGGCCACGGCGGCCGCAGGCGGGAGCTCGGGCGCCAGCGCTGCCGACGGCATCCTCATCCTGCCGCCTGCGGAGTCCGTGGCAGCGGCCCACGGCTTCGCCTCGCTCGAGGACGCGCGAGCCTGCGATGTGTCGGCTCGCCTGGCGAGAGCGGCTGCAGCAGCGGCCGAGCGTGCTTAGCGCAGAATTGCATAGAATTCACGTCACCACGGGCACTTTTGCTTTCGCAGAGAGGAAAGAACGCCCCCACCGTATCCTGTTGCCCTCGGCGTGCGCGCCCGATTGCCCCCCGGGGTGGGGCGCAGCCCTCGCCCCGCCGCAGAGGGCGCGCTCGCCCCTCGCGCTGATGAGCGCGCTGCCCGCGGGGCTCGCGCGCTGCCCTGGCCCGCCGCGCACTGGCGCGCGCCGCCGCGCAGGCCGACGCGGCCCGGCAGGCTCGCCCCTGGCGCCTGGCGTGAAGGCCGGGCGCGTCCCTCGACGGGAGGAATACTCGAGAACAGTAAGCACATATTCTGGGGACGATCATGTCGACGATGTTTGGTGGCCATGTTTGATTATTTGTTTGCCTGTGTTTGATCTGTCCTTGCAATCCGCCTGTATATGGGGACATGCCCGGCGTGAGCCTGACGGCTGGCGGCGCCTGCTCGGCCCAGACATGATCGCGTCGTAAATGCAAAAAAGTCAGGACGGCAAGATTTGTCATTATCTTCCGTCCCAGGGGGCCCTCGAGACGGGCCCAGGGATTGCATGGAGACTCGCGTTTTCCGACCGTCCCAGGGCCGATTTTTCATCTTGAAGCGATCCAGCAGGAAAAGCCGGCCCCGGGGAACGGGCCAGGACTTCTGGGGACGCCGCATCGAATCATCAGGACCTCGCGTGTCCGTGGGTGGACCTCCGCCGCCTCCACCGGGGGGCGCCGCTTCCGCGCCGCCGCCCCCCGCCGCGCTTGCTGGCTGCCCCTCGCCGGGAGCCCGGCCCCCGCTGCGGCGGGGGGGGCCGCCCCGCCCACGCGGCTGCCCGCCCCGCCCGCTCGCGGCCCCCTTGCCTGGCTCCCGCGCGCTCGCCCGGGGCCTCGCGGCCCCTCTCCGGCCATGCTGGTTGCGCCCCGCCTCTTCGCGTCTCTCCTCCCCGTGGCTCCCAGCCCAGACTTTGTCGCGTTGTGAAAGGTCAGGACGAGAAGATTTTCGCTACTTTCGGCCTGCAGGGACCCTTCCCGGGCCCGTCAACCAAACGACTGAGGATGAAGAGCCGGTCCTGGGGGAGGGGTCCAGACCTCTCGGTGTCGACGTTGTGGAAAAGTCACGACGTCGGGGGTCTGGGAGCCTGCCTTGCGCTGAGAAAGCGCACCGCCTTCGCTACCGCTGCGTCGCACGCCCGTCGAGCCACCCTGGCCCCCACTCCGCCACTGCAGCTCGCCGGCACAGCCTCCCCAGCAATTTGTACCGGCCCCCGCTCTGGCGAATGGGACTGCCGTAGAGTTCTTTCAACGCTGGCCTTCCTTCTCCCATCTTGCTGGGCCTCGTCCCGCAATGCAGCCGCTGGACCCACCCCTGGGCGCGATCGCGATGCCGCCCCGCGCCCGCTGCCAAGGGCTGCTACA